CATCCATCCATCCATCCATCCATCCATCCATCCATCCATCCATCCATTATTGTTACAGCTTATTCCCTAATGGGGTGGAGAACAAGAGCTTATCCCAGTGATCAATCAATGGGTGAAAGGCAGGGTACACCCTGGACAGTCCGCCAGTCCATCGCAGGGCCACACACAAGTCATACAAGGACAAACAACCATGCACACTCACATTCACTCCTAAGGGCAATTTGGAATGTCCAATTAACCTAACATGCAGGTTTTTGGACTGTGGGAGGAAGCCGGAGAACCTGGAGAGAACGCATGCAGACACAGGGAGAACATGCAAACTCCACACAGAAAGGTCCTGGGTCCCCCGGGACTCAAACCCAGAACCTTCTTGCTGTGAGGCGACGGTGCTTACCACCACACCACCGTGACACCCGAGCCTTGAATCCTGACTGAAAATCTTCAAACAAGCTATTGCTATGTAGATAGTCACACAGCTATTTGGTGACTGCTTTCTCCAGGACATTGGAGATAAATGGAAGGTTAGATATAGGTCTATAGTTGGCTAAAACATCAGGGTCCAGGTTAGGCTTTTTAAAAAGAGGTTTAATTACAGCTACTTTAAAGTGCTACATAGCCTGTTGATAAAGACAGATTGATCACATCTAGTAGAGAAGTACTGACTAAGGGTAACACTGAGGGTTTAGCAGCCTAGTCGGGATGGGGTCAAAGAGACAGATTGATGGTTTGGAAGAAGAAATTATTGAAGTTATATGGCAAAGATTGAGGGAGGCAAAGCAGTCAAAACATATAACTGGTTTTACAGCTGTGTCTACGGTTTCTGAGTTTAAAAATAAGTCGGTGCAAGTTGAGGGCAATTCTTGGTGGATTTTGTTTCTTATAGCTAGAATTTAATCATAAAAGAAGGTCATGAAGTCATGGCTAGTGAGAGCTATGAGAGTACTTGACCCGATAGAGCTATGGCTTTCTGTCAGCCTGGCTACAGTGCTGAAAAGAAACCTGGGATTTTTCCTTTTTTCCTCCATTAAAGACGAGTAGTACGCTGCTTTGGCATCACAGAGGTTCTTCCTATAAGTTTTAAGACTATCTTGCTAAGATAAACAAGAATTTTCCAGCTTTGTGGAAGACCACTTTCTCTCAAGTTTCAGCGATATTTGCTTTAATTTGCGGGTTTCAATAGTATACCATGGAGCTAACTGTCTTTGTTTAAGTATTTTCTTTTTTAGGGGGCTACAGAGTCGAGTGCTGGTTGCAGCAAGCCTTCAACACTATCAACAAGATGATCGACTTGGGAGGGACTGAAATTAACAAAAGAGTCCTCTGTTTTTTTTCTACCCAATAATGAATTTAGAGCTGATGGAATCGCATCCTTAAATTCAACTATAGCACTATCCGACAGGCATCTTGAGTAGACATTTTTGCCCAATGGAAGGTCATTCAAGATTGGGGAAATTGCCCTTAGGAGTGAATGTGAGTGTGAGTGGTTGTTTGTCCTTGTATGTCCTGTGTGTGGCCCTGCGATGGACTGGCGGACTGTCCAGGGTGTACCCTGCCTCTCGCCCGTTGACCACTGGGATAGGCTCCAGTTCCCCCCGCGACCCCATCAGGGAATAAGCGGTATTGATAATGGATGGATGGATGGATGGAAGGTAATTCAGCAGTAAAAGCTCAAAAGTTAGCGAACAGTGGTCAGATGAAGACAGACTCTGTAAACAGCACTATTAAACATTTGATTTAAATACCATACACCAGAACAAGATCAAGGGTGTGCTTAAGGACGTCCATGAACACTCTGAGAGAAGCCAATGGAATATAACAGAGAAATAAATGCAGTACTGATGCTGTGCTGCATTTAATACATTTTTGTTAGATAAACTGTTCAATATGATATAGTGGATGCGATACAGTTTACTTTTTCACTTTTACAAGGACAATAATGAAGTAGATCAATTTATTCAGTTATTGTCCATACCACTTTTTCCTAATAAAGGCATGACAGGACCTATTCCAGCTGACATTGGCCAAGAGGCAGAAGCAATTAATCACAGTACTGAAGAATATTTATTTTTTTATTTGGTGCTGTTTGTTGTGGACAGACATGAAGAGCCTCACCTCAGCAGATTAAAAGTACATTATACAGTATTAGTGATGGACGTCCTGAAAATGAAAATGTTTTGACACACGGATGGTGGTTAGCACTGTCGTCTCACAACAGGATGGTTCCTGGATAGAATCCCTGTGTGAAAAGGGCATGGGTTTCCTCTGGGTACAAAGGGTTCCTCTCTACGTCCAAAAACATGCATGTTAGGTTAAATGAAAACTCTAAATTTCCCTTTCTAGTGAATGTGTGTGTGTGTTGTTGTTTGTCTCTATGTGGACCTGCAATGGACTGGCAACCGCTCCAGGGTGTATCCAGTGTCAGCTGAGATAGGCGACAGCCCCCCACAGCCCCAGTAGGACTAGGTGGTAGAGATAATAGATGGCTGGATGTTTAGCGTCAGATATCTGTATCAAGTTACTGTAACAGAATTATTCACAGTTATGTTTTATGATATGTTTTATTATAAAATTCCTATTAAAAAAAGATTAGAACATCAAACAAAGAGGACCTTCTCCTTTATTCACAGGGCAATTGTAGGAAAGAGGGCTAACACACCCACATTTAAACAGCAGAGTTTGGATTGTCAAAGCTGCAGCATCTCTTTTTTTTAAGTTAATAAAATCAGAAAGACCAAAAAAAATGGATGTAGGATGAGTATTGACATAATATATATGATTATATTTTCATTATGAACTGAAGAAGTCTATCAGCAGAAATGCAGCCAGATGCACTTTGAGCAATCTAGTGAGATCGGAATAAACAGAGGAAGACATGCATTAACATTTTAGAAAACCCAGCGTAAAATCCGTCACCCACTTAAAGAAATATGTCGTATTTAAAAACTGCCATTTGACTTGATCATAAATAACTTACACAAAAGTACAATTTGTCTCATTGTTCTGACAGTAAGTACATAAATAATAAATTGTACATTAAGTGTTGTGAATAAGATTTAGAAGTAATTTTTTGTGACAAATAGAAAGGTAGGTAGGCAGGCTCTTTGCATGTATTTTCTGCTGGTCAAGGTGTTATCAAATAGTATTAAAGGCACCCTTGAGTGTTAGTTGAATTGGTGTTGTTTTTGGCAGAAAAGAAAACTTAATGTGGAACAAGTCTAACCAGAAAAAATATCCAAAGTGTGAAAATAAAGCTTAAAAACTGCAAATTATTTGAAAATGAAAACAAAATGTACTCTTTTATGGTATTAAATAAAACAAACCTTTCTACCGGGTATGTTCTGCAGATAACCCATAAGCAGTTCCTATTTAAATCGTACTGCCAATTACAAGCATTTCACCAGAACATCTTTTTGTACAGTCAGTTATAAAAAAGATAAACAAACAGTAAAAAAGGGGACCTCAGTCCCAACAGCATCCATACTTTAACAGCTGTAGTGACCCCAGCCAGTTCAGTTAAATTCAACTCAGACCATTCGTTCAAATAGAAACTAACACAGTTAGGTTAGACAGTTATAAACAGCAGTGGTAGTGCAAGACCTTAAAAGTACCATTCAAAGTGCGTATATCTTAAAAAGTAAAATAAATACTTTAAAAAGTCAACCAGCCATTTACTCACAAAAAGACAACAAATCACTTTGTTAAGACAATATAATTTCAGTTACTTTTTGAACAGGAATTAGAAAGAGGAACAAGAGACACAGGTCAGATTGGCACACAGGGTACTACAATCAACCAACTTTATCAGTTAGTAATGGAAAGTAGCCAGTGGCAAAATGGAAATTACAGTACTGGTTGTGTTATGCTTCTTTGGCACTTGCATTTTCATTGACTGTGTCCCTGTGAAGAGCATAATATTGATCAATGAGAGAAAAAACAGGAACGATTCTGGCACAGGCCATAATGTTTGGGTTTTTACAGTTATGGTGATGCTAAAAACTTTTTCTGTACTCTTTTGCTCCTACAACATTACCATTATCAGTCAAAAATGTATATGACTGAATGTTCAAAAGAAAAGACAATGTCACAGACGCTGGATTATAAATCTTAGAGAAGGATTTGCATATAAACGTACCTGAAGCTGTACCATGTAGTTTAGTTTTTTTAATTATCAGGAGCTCTCAGTGTGTTCATATATTAAGTCAAGGCCTTAAAAAACAGAGATAATTGATCCTCAGCTTAAAGACAGTCTGATGAAAATGAGGCCAAATGACAAGAATTCAAAATGTGGCTTGAAAAAAGAATTTCAAAAAGAAAAAAAACAGCAACAAAACTGATGGAAATTTTAAGTAGAAAGACTACTGTAATAGAAAATCTAAGCCAAAACTCTACAAATCTTTTGCGTCAGTAAAACAAAAACAACTTTTGTTCCATTTGCAGACACTGGGAGGCACTGCATGAACAGTCTGGACTGCTTTGGTTGTGGCTCTTGAACTGCACTTATTCTGGCTCAGATTTGTTGGTTACAATGCAGTAGTAATAATACATCTGAAACAACTAAATATATCTAAATGTAATGTTATACAAGGTCATTCTTTACTCTCATATTTAAACTTAAAAAAACTGCCATCTGAAAACATACAAATGAGCTGTGCAACAATAAGGAAAGGAGGATGTGTGTACTTATGCAGTGACAGATTCACTCAAATTAACTGCTACATTAAAGTTTTCTACATAAAATTATGTATTGTTCTTTTCAGCCTTGACTTTGCTTAAGCTTTTTTTCAAGTCTTTTGGATCAACTTATCTTCATGTAGTATATGTATTAATCTATACAAAAGACAAATAAAGAGGCAGACATGATGGTATCGTCCTTGTTATTTCCAAGTGTGTCTAAATGCCTAAAATAACTGCTCAGTTACTACACCTCCTCAGTTTCTTCTCAAGTGCTAGAAAAACAAGTTTTTATACTGTTTATCTTCGTTTTAACTAAAGCTGAAGAGATATAAGAGAAAGAAGACTGATGACTTTTCAACAAATCAGAAACTTGTCTTTTGTCCTCTGTGGAATAGTGACTTAGTCTTGTCTATCTTTCTCCAGGGCAACGGACCGCTGTGTAAAGCCACACCCAACTGCACTCTCACACCACATCCAAAGTCTTGTTCTAATTTTGTTTAGGTAAAATGATAGGTGTTGGTGTCTACAAGGAGTGAGAAAGGTATACACAGAAGTGAGGCACTGAATTCAGTCAAGATAAAAAAAAAAAAACAAGGCCAAGAGGAAAATAACTTTGAGTGGTGCTAGGTTCCAAGCCTGAAGCGTGGTACCTCAGAAATACCTTCTTGTTCTGTCTCTCTGTTTTCTGCCATATCATTTTCAGAGTCAAAAGAAAACGTCCTGCCTGAGTCACTGGTAAATATTTTGTTATTTCGTCGTGTCTTAACAGGTACTGGATCAAATCCAGCCCTGCAAAGTTCGTATCCCTTACTTCTGCTGTTGCTCTGTTCTTCCTCAGGAGAACTCCCTGTATCAGACTCGCCTTTTTCATCCAAAGTCAGAACAAACTGAAATTTGTCAGCTGAAGCAAAAACACTGCCCCCACCAGAAGCTGAGGCTTCCCCAAGAACGGATTCCGCCTTCTGGTCCTGTGGATGGGGTGAAGGACTGTGGGGAATCATGCTCTGGTACCACTCTCTATTATCCTCCAGTGTATCCAAGATCTCCTGAGCATCTGGGTGCACCAGGTCAGCCCATGTCTCCCACAGAGGATGAACAATGTAGTCAATAAAACCCACCTTAAAAAAAAGCAAGAATATTTAATCACATTTAGAAAAATGTTTGTATTTGTACATATTAACGTAAAAACAAAAATGATGAGTAGATTTCATACAGTATTATTCTGTACCTGGTTCTTTTCTATGGAGGCATTTTGTTTGTCACACATGGGGCTGATCTCCATTCTCTTTTCTCTTTCCCTGTCTCCCTGTGTAAAAAACTCCACCATAATGCGATCTGTCCACTTTCGGTACAATTCAAGAGGCTTGGTAGGGTTACTCAGGTCAGCACAGTGTACCATATTCTGAAGAACCTGCAGTTGAAAATTATGAAGAAAATGTATTTAAAAAATAATTAAAAACAGATTAATTCCCCACATTGCTTTATTTCTTTGTAAAAGCTGTCTTTTTGTATGAAAACACTTTCTACCTGTATGCGATCTGAGTAATTGTCCAGCAGCAGGACACCTAGACTAGTGACTTTCTTTGTCTCCACCATGGTTTTTAAGTCTGCCAGAAGGTTCATGTGCTTAGACATATCTGTGGCCAGCACCTGAAAGTTTAACATTCAAATCAAATCAGAATTGACAATTAACATTTACAGAAAAGGCTATGTTTGAACTAAGGGAAATATTAGGCTATATGCAGTCTTCTGAGCATTCTCCCACAGTGACCTTACCATGTCAATGACCAATTTCCGTAGCGATTGCCTTTGTTTTTTGCTCAGGTTCTCAAATATGTCACATTCATCTTCCTGCAGAAGTTTGAAGCCTACAGCCAGATGATGATTCTCTAGCACTGACATGTCATTGTACATCAAGGCCAGCTCTGAATCTGATGGGAGAAATTTGACTCAGTTAAGTAAAAAACTAGTCCCAATCTACACAAGCTGTGTTTCCATGTACCTCAACCACACACAGTATCAACGGAAATTCACATAATCCTTGTGGATTACTGAAAACTTACTTGTGTTGATAAGAAACTGGTTGGAAACTCCAGGGTGATCCACATCATGGATGGCGCTGGCGAATAGAGCAGCGAGGATCTCCAGATCAGTAAACACAGCCTTTAAAACATGAAGAAGACAATGATCATTATGTGCACATTCACATGATTGCTCAATGGGACTTAAAGAATACATAGGTTTATCAATGCTTTTTTATCAAGGTTTATCTCTGTTAGTGACTACCTCCAGTGCAGGTGTGGACAGCAATACATGTGTAGACTGGACCACGTCTGCAGCATGGATGTTGTTGTGGTAAGCCACATCAACACGGTAATGATCCTCTAATGTCATCATAAAATTGATAAAAACATCAACTGGAATCTTGAACGACTTGAGCAAGTCACGTTCCTGCAGGAGCAGAGATTAAAAAAATTCCAGGTACTGTGTTGAGTGAGCTGAAGATCAGTTATTGGGTTAAATCTACAATCATGTGGTTGTGAACATATATATAGATATGTCTAAAGTGTCACCTGAAAGATGGTGTACATTGTGACTGTCAAAGGGCGACGCCCCGAATACTCTGAGACCTTAAAGATGTCAATACCCCATCTGTTTATGTCCTCAAGCTCCTGCCAGAAAATAATTGTGAATAATATTAAATTAGTCAAAAAGACTACATGTTAAAGAACATTAAGTGCAAGAACAGGTGTATGCGAATGGGAAATTAAAAAATATTGAAGTTGTTTTTGCACCTTGGCCAGGAGTCCTTCCTGAGTAGCATCAACCCCAAAGCGAGGTATTGTGGAAGGGACAAGACCGTGGGTAGCCTTTTTCACACCACTGATCTGGGACATGGGTCGATTCGTTTTGTCTTTGTCCTTGGTTGGGGGAGACATGATGTCCATATCATGCGGCTTTTCTGTCAGATGGGGTCGGACAAACTATTAGTAGTGATTTAGTGATTGCTTAAAAACAATGAACAGTTTAACAATAAAACATTAATAAAAGGGTCAAAATAATACAGCACAGTATGATTTAACCCTAATATGCCATATGCATGATATCTGATACATATGGTTTCTAAAATGTTTAGCATCTAAGACCATTTGAATCATTTAATGGTAAAAACGTTGCTCAAAACCCTGTTGTACACAACCATATATATAACAGTGGGCAGAAGACTACAAAATTATTGTTAATATTTTCAAATTTTCAAATTTTGTTAAAGGGCCAAATAAAGACCTAAAAAAAAAAAATTGTTTTTCTTATATTGGGTTTTAAACGGTTAAAAATACAACAGTTTATGGCACTGTAAAGTACCAAGCTATGTACCTAGAAAAGTGTTGGAGATGAACTCAGACACCTGGTTCCCAGAACGACTGGTTTCTGACAGCTGGGTGAGCTCCCGGTTAAGCATTCTCTTGAACTGAGGGCAAACAAAACATTTGTTTTACAATGGAAAATAAAGAACACATAATCTGAGTAACTTTAGTGTTCCTTGCAAAGCACCACCTTAGCTGATGATGTTGCTTACAGTAGGCAAGACAATTTCAACAAACAGTACAGCAACTGGGGTGGAGAGAGGCTCATTCACAGTGACATTGACAGTGATAGTTATACCATCTGGTGTTAGCGATACTACAATCTCCAGTCCTTTAATGTCTCTATCTGCTCATGTAGTCTGATATCTGGATGGAGAGCTGTTGGATTTAGTCAGTGAAACAAATGATAACGTCTTCTCAATATAACCACTGCACTTTACATGGCTTATAGCACTTTCATTTGATCTGCAGTCAATCTAATTCATAATCAAGCAAAGAAAATCTTCCGTCTGCTTTATCTGCGTGTTAGACACCATCTATTAAAAAATAATCTGAATTTGCGGTTCAAGAGATTCTAAACATTGAAATTAAGTCAGTTCCTCCCACATCTAAACAACTTCCTCGTTGTCATGGACAGTCACAAAACTGTTATAATTGATGTTAAATGAGTATTCAGGGTGACCTGCAAATATCATTACAATATCCAGTTCCACCCATCCATCCATTACCGTTACCGCTTATTCCCTAATGGGGTCGCGGGGAGAACTAGAGCATATCCCAGTGGTCAATGGGCAAAAGGCAGGGTACACCCTGGACAGTCCATCGCAGGGCCACACACAAGAACAAACAACCACGAACACTCAATCCTAAGGGCAATTTGGAATGTCCAATCAACCCAACATGCAGGTCTTTGGACTGTGGGAGGAAGCCAGACAAACCCTGAGAGAACCCACACAGAACATGCAAACCCCACACAGAAAGGTCGTGGGTCCCCCAGGACTCGAACCCAGAGTCTTCTTGCTGTGAGGCAATGGTACTAACCACCACACCACCGTGCCGTCACTATCCAGTTCAGGTTAAGATAATGTTTTTAAAATATATATTTTTTAAATAACTACAATAAATACCCAAAGTTATGTAGTAAACCTTGAGGGAATGACAATAAAAATCATTTACAGAGAGCAAAAACATTTAATTGAATTCTGGTCTAAACAGAGGAAAGTGTTAGAAAAAAATCATGCCTTAATCATTTGCTTATTTTCCACACGCATTAAAATAGCAGCATTGAAGCTTGAGAGTCTTCTTCTCCTCACAAAGTTAATCCCAAACCGCCTCTTACCTGAATGAAGATCTTTGATGGAGAAATCAAATAGCCCACTTTTGGCATTTCAGCTTAGAGTAAAGCATGAGAGCAATAATAAACCAGAATATGAAATATTTGATTCCACGTAGTACTCAAACTATGTATGGTTCAGAGAAAAGCAAACAACTTGGACACAAGATCTTTACTCATGTACATATATATCTATCCCACATCCATTCCAACAGGTTACTCCTGCAAAAGCTATGATCAGTGCTGCTGGTAAGATGGAGAAAAAATATCTGTAGCTCCACATAAGAACAAGGGTATAGAAATATTGCTGTGAGAATGCTGTGGGATGCTAAGATGCAAGGCAAAGAAGCTACCCCCTCTTCCTTACCACCAACACCTTCCCCACCCTAAACACTCAGTTACTCTGTTACTGTATGCTCACTATGTGTGTGTAGACAGAGAGAGTTACTGTAGACTCCACCTCCCTAAAAAAAACATAGTAACCAATCATAGTAGCAGCTACAACACAGTTATTGAACCTGAGTGCTATCATTGGCTATTAGATGCACATGGTAAGACTCATTGTTAAGGGCAGAGGTTGTGAGACACACCATGTGCAAATGAGGGACATGTTTTGAATGGATGGAATGCGGATGGGGGGTCTCACTTAATAAAGATAGCACACTATACATCACTAGGATGTGGGTACAAATAACATGATAAATAAATTTAAAAGTATTGAAATATTTTTTCACATAAATATGCCAAAGTCGGAGGTCTTAGCATAGCATGAAGACATTACATAAAGTATCAACAGTTAACCGTCATAGAGTTGACAGAAATCTGTATGTAGGCAAGATCATTCATGGATTATGATAAATGAATGATGATGAGTATATTCTTATATAAGGATATCAACATTTATTTAGCTGAGATACTTCTCTCAGAATCCAATTTGAAGTGTACTGCAAAAAATTCCAAAATTGAATCAATTTTGGAATGTTTGCAGTCCACCATAAACCACTGAGCACAGAAACTTCATGTCTCCAGTTCTGTTAATAACTTTTATGGACAGGATTTCTAGGCACAGCTGAGGTGTCGAGCGTGTCCGTCTTCGTGGCCTTAGGATCGCATCTCTGCTTTTTGCAGATGATGTGGTCCTGTTGGCTTCATCAAGTTGTGACCTACAGCTCTCACTGGAGCGGTTCGCAGCCGAGTGCGAAGAAGCTGGGATGAGGATCAGTACCGCCAAGTCTGAGACCATGGTCTCTCACCGGAAAAGGGTAGAGTGGGTCAGGGGGGACGTCCTTCTCCAAGTGGAGGAGTTCAAGTATCCCGGGGTCTTGTTTTCAAATGGGGGTAGGGAGCGTCAGATCGATAGGTGGATCGGTGCGCAGTCTGCAGTAATGCGGCGGCTGTACCTGTCTGTCGTGATGAAGAGAGAGCTGAGCTTAAAGGCGAAGCTTTCGATTTAGCGGTCGATCTACGTTCCCACCCTCATCTATGGCCACGAACTTTGGGTAGTGAGAGAAAGAAGGAGATCCCGGATACAAGCGGCCAAAATTAGTTTCCTCCGCAGGGTGGCTAGGCTCTCCCTTAGAGATAAGGTGAGAAGCTCGGCTATTCAGGAGGGGCTCAGAGTAGAGCCGCTGCTCCTCCACGTGGAGACGAGCCAGTTGAGGGGGCTCTGGCATCTTATTAGGATGCCTCCTGGTCGCCTCCCTGGTGAGGTGTTCCTGGCACAACCTACCGGGAGAAGGCCTAGAGGAAGACCCAGGACCCGCTGGAGGGACTATGTGTCCCGGCTGGCCTGGGAACGCAATGGGATCCCCCCGGAGGAGCTGGCAGAAGTGGCAGGGGAGAGGGAAGTCTGGGTTTCCCTGCTTCGGCTGCTGCCCCCGCGACCCAACCCCGGATAAGCGGCGGAAAATGGATGGATGGATGGATATAATACTTTTAAAATGTTTTAGTAAAACCTGTAATGCAAGACTAAAAGAGTAAGAAAAGACAACTGACAATTTTTCAATTCGATACAACAACATTAGTAGGAATTGACGAAAATGCCACAAGATTAAATTGAACAAACTGATGACAAATCGGAGAGAAGACAAATATGATACCATGCTGTACCTTAATGGCCAAGAAATGTACCTTCTAATTTGATCAAACCTCTCCCATATATTTAAAAAGATTGTGATTGACACAAAATTACAGTGAATTGTAATATAAAATTATGATTTAAAAATTTTGTCCTTCAATAGTGCCTAAGTTCATATGATATATTGTCTTTGCAGAGTTAGTCTCCTGACCTTAAAACCATTAGTAAGATATGGAAAAGTAATAAAAATCCCTACGTGATGAACGTCCATATGAATTAACTTTGTCTGCACCGTACTGAAACTTTGCACAAAATTTAATGGCAACTGTTCAGCTTGTAGCATTTGTTTGAGTTGTGCATCACTCTCTGGCCTGCCATAGTGATCAACTGTCTACTAGTATGAGACTCTTAGTAATCTGCTATGTGCTGTGTTTTCTGTCATATTACTTTGTTGGAAGCCATCTCGCTGACAGAGTGTCGAGTTTTCAGTGTCTCCAGTTGCTCCAAACACCAGTCCAGCTCATCTAGTGTCTCCATGGATAGTTGTTGGTGCGGCTCCTCTGTCAAACATAAACACAAGGGGTCAATATGGAATGGTCTTACCATTGTCCAACCACAAGTTTTTAAAAGCTTGTTAAAACATGTGTCAAAAGCCTGTAAATGTGTTGTTTTTGCTGTTTGATAAAAAATGGATAGAAATTTGTTCTGGATTTCATTACTGGGATAATAAAGTTTACCCTTCCGGCATTTATCTCACAACATGGAGTATGAAGTATCAATCAGTATGTTACTTTGTGTTATGTTGCCATGAGAATGAAACATTCTGATATGAATAACATAGCGCATTTAGTTTAGAGTGTTTCTTTATATGTTAAGAATAATTCCACAAATTCCACATTGAATAACATTTCCAAAGCAAGACTATGAATGAGTAAATGAGAGTGAATGAGTATTCCTAAAATGCTTTTTTGAAAGTAAATATTTCAGAGTATATAAGCATTCATAGTATTTCCCCAGGTTAGTCATGTATCATGACTGAATTACATTTATTTACTGTGATGTGTTACCAGTAAAACAGATTTTACAGTTCACAGATTTCATCAGAATTAAAAAACATTTACCATCACTGTCTTATACAGACCAGCACTAGTTATGGGATGGTGATTAGCAAATAGCTTATTCTAAATGAAGCACAGACCTGCAAGGCTGGTTTTGGACATTGATGGTGGGTTACTGCCTGAGGATCGCGTTCTGTAAAGAGACCATTTAAAGTCAGTAAGTTAACGATATATTGCAAATAAAAACACAATTTTATTTATGAGGTGTAACTGATCACCAAAAAGATAATTAAAGTAGTCAAAACCACAAGTTAAATGCCTACTTGCTGGCTGTCCGATCTTGCTGACCAGTTATGATGGCAAAGTTAGTTCGGACTGTCCTCAGACTGGCAAGGACCTAAGGAGGAGAGCAAAGGACTGCAGGACTTAACCAAATCCAATGTGATGAACACTTATTGAGTGAAAGGACAGATTTAACTGGATTGATAGCTTGTAATTATTTCCGTTAATTAATCAGGAACACAAAAGAGAGCTTCTCAAATGGACCATTGAGTAGCAAATAATACTATGACTTTCAGCTTTCCAGCTGACATGCAGCACAAATGCATTCCCCTGGTTTGATAGCATGCCAAAAACTCCTAAATATCATATCTGTCAGTCATTTGTAGGGAAAACCCTGACTCCACATGCAGAGAAAGCCAACAGAGTATCGGATGTCCAGAGCTGTACTGTGTAGAATCCTTATAAGCTAACATGCACATTTTAAACGGCATGATCCAGCAGTACTGGAGTCACTTCCTCTCTCAGGCTGTAAATTGATCACAAGCCTGACGCACAGCCCACGTAACCCTTGCAACACATGCAGGATGCCTGATCTTTTAGCAGTTAGACTGACCATCTGGAATTTTTCATATCCTATATTTTCCCTTTTAAAAATGTGTTATTCTTATTTTAGCAAATTGGAGAACACTGCAATTTTCAAAAATAACAACAATTGTTCATTTGCTTTCTCAGAGTGTCTGAAATAGCTTCAGAGCACTAACCTGTGCAAAAGGTGTAACAATCATGTCTTCTGAATGTCTGAAAACAGAAAGAAAATATGAAAAATTGACAACTTGATAACTGGAACAATCTAGAGACAACACTGCTGCTGTGTCTACGTATTCCTTATTAATACTAAACATTTTAGTACGCCGTCATTTTTTAAAATCTTAGATTTGGATAAGGTTTGTCTTTACATGTTGTGCCTGTACACTGTAATTCTTCACCATGGGAAGGAAAGAAACTTTGCTTTGACTCATTTGTATATCTGGTACATGTAAAGAATTTGTCAATAAAGCTAACCTTAACCTTAACCTATTTTTCAGTCTGTGCTTGATAAATTACATATAAAATAAACTGTTATAAATCAGAGAAACAATAATGCACCTTAAAACTATTACTTTTGGATTTTCCAAATATAAGGTGGTGTTATCACATATCTGTATTCACTTTCCAAGAAACAAATATAGCATACATTATATAGTATGATTAGTAGTAAAACATAGTGTGATGGGTTACTGTGGGTTTAGGTTGGATAAAAAAACTGACCTACAAATAAGATATAGACAGGGCAATATTATATTTTTGAGCAAAAGTAGGACAGATATAAGTGTCTAACAGGGGTCACAGGTTTATAGTTTAGTCATGTTTGTGAAGAGAAAAGAGGAAAATGACCTAGAAATTGTCCATAAAAATAATGTAAAAGAGGGCTTCAAGGAAAAGATTTTGCTTGATCATGTCTTCTCACCGAGATGACAACCAGTTGACCTCCCAGTGCTTCAAACTTTCTTCCCTTTAAAAACAGATAGGCAAGAGTCCATGAAGAGATCTGAAAGGCCTTAATTTTAATGCTTGGTGGTATTTACACGGTATATGCTATGGATTGTCTGGTTTGGGAAATGAATGACTCAAAAGGAAAGACAGCGATTTTTAAAAATATGTTAAATGTTTATGGAGCCAGTTTTACATGCAACAATTTTTGTAAAAAAAAAATTAAAAAATACCCCCAAAATCTAGCAATATATATTTTTCTTTTTTTCAAAACTGTAGATCTCACTCTTAAAACACATCAAGTTTCAACCTTGAAATACAAAGCTGTAAACAAGAGATGACCCAGAGGCATATTGTGGTTTCAAAGAATGTTTTCTGTTATGTTCACATGTCCAAATAAAGTGATTACCAAAACTTTTCAGCAGTTTGTAAGGGAAGCAACACGTTAAAACAATTAATCAAATTTGTCCTCCAATATGTAAATCTCAGTACCAGAAGTGTAGACAATACAGTAATAATAATCACAAACATACAACTTATGAATGTAGTTAGCAATTACATGACCAGACAATGTCGAGTTCAAATACTGGCATTCAATATTAAATTGATTAAATGGATATGAAATAGTGTAGGGTTTCATTTTATTTGACTATTATTTATTTATACCTTGTGTAACATAAATTTACTACTCAGACTGCATGATTTATAAGGTAAAATCTTTTATGGCATAAAACGTGATATAATTAACTTACAGATCACTAGGGGTTGCGGAGTTTCTGGAGGGGCCTTTAGGGGAAAGGTCAAAGTCGGAGTCAGAGCGGTAAAGAAAGGACTCTCGCCGCTGACTGTGAGGGAAATTGGCCTGCAGGACCAAACCTGAAACAGGACTGGCCTGGGTATCCATGGGGCTGCGGCCCACTGATAATCCATTTTCCACATCAAAGCTATTTGGGAAGAAGAGGAGAGAGAATTTATTAGAGTTAGATGATTATCGGCACATGACGAGAAAAAAGCAAGTACAGTTTAAAGACGGCATGGGTAGGAAATAAAACAAGCAATTCTGTCTCACATGTGTCCACAACAGTTGTCTTATTGTGAGTGAATTTATTCCTGGGTTTGGTAAACCAAGGATCACAATGTGCCTACATAGCTTCCAACAGGAACAATTGGAAATGAGCTGTCAACTGTGTTCTCAGAGGTATACTGACTGGTTTGATTCAACAGGCAATATTATGTCTTATTGAGTAAATTAGAGGGAGTTCTGCAGCATGATGAATGTGAAACTCGTGAAGTGAGACCTTATCTATCCATATCTCTTGTGGCAAAAGACTGACCAATAAAAGTGTCAGCTAGCTTTGTGTAGCACAAAAAAGAGGGAGGCTTCCATTTCAATTAAAGTTTAGCTGTCTAAATATATTACACTTTATCACAGGGTAAAATAGTCTGCTATTTCAAGGAAGTGTAACCATCATAACTCAATAAAGATCACAATAAGAGCTAAGAATGACACTTTTGGGAAGGTATCAAAAATTTGATTATTATGTAAAATAAGTGGGAATATAGTTACCAGATAAATATATCCCAGGAAGTGGGATAAGATTAGCTCAGCTGTTTATCTTAACAAACAATGGCCGATAAGAATAAACCTTCAAAATTAGACTGACGCCAATATGAGAGGGTGTTGACAGCCATATACAAAGAATGAATGCATGTTAGTTATATTAACACTGTAGCTGACATTTCGCTGATAAAACTGAAAGACACAGTAAATTACTGTGTTATTAGAGCGATGGAAAAACTAACAACAATGTCCAATATAGTTGATCTGTTCCCTATATACTTGGAGACGGATTCAATTTAAGATACACAACTAAATTAATTCCAGTTAGACAGACATTTTGCTTTATCTTGGTATGGCTATATAAGTTTTATATATAAAACATATACTGTATGTAAAACCCACTTTAGGCAATTCGAGATTCCATAATTTTCTAAACAATAAAAACTATGTGGTGGACATCTACAGCAGGATGATGTTATCGCAAGGTACCCATAATTAATCCATCCATTATCAATACCGCTTATTCCCTGATGGGGTCGCGGGGGGAACTGGAGCCTACCCCAGTGGTCAACGGGCGAAAGGCAGGGTACGCCCTGGACAGTCCGCCAGTCCATCGCAGGGCCACACACAGGACATACAAGGACCAACAACCACTCACACTCACATTCACATTCACTCCTAAGGGCAATTTCCCCAATCTCCAATAAACCTAACATGCAGGTTTTTGGACTGTGGGAGGAAGCCGGAGAACCCGGAGAGAAAACAAAAAAACTAAACAAAAGGCTTCATTAAAAGAACTAACATCCATATGATTCTAGACAAATAGAATCTTATTTGTGAATATGGCATGTTTGTCAAATGTCAAATGTCAACATTCCAACAGTTGGATTAAAATATGGATATGTTATTGGGAGAATGCCATTAATCTGCCCCAAAGGAAGTCACATTAGCACATATACACATTTACAGTCACAGAAACATTCACTAACACCTGTAAACACATGTGGCCACATATTTACTTGGGACTGGAGCTTACATTCCAGAGAATCAAAACTTTTTTTGAAAATGTGTAAAGCGATGTGTTGCTGTGTTTGTTATGTGTTATGTGTCTGGCTGGTAAGAAGTGTGACTGATGGTAGCCTGTCAGTGGCCCTGATATTTGACTCCCTTTCTGCGTCACCACCTGTCATTGTAACGTCAATCCCTTCTGGGGAGCATTAAAATACAAGTGCTACGGGAAAGGAGAGAGAAAAAGCAAGACAGGCCGGTAAACCAGCGCACGCTGTCCTTCATTCATCAGTCACATGCCTTTGCTGCGACAGAGGTAGAATTAGTTACACCCAGCCAACCTTTGCAAAATATGTTTTGTGTGTGTGTGACAGTGATTCAAAGTAAATCCTTTGCATATATACCATTGAAGAAAACATATATGATTATATTCTGCTTACAAAGTTTATGATTGAGTGTGAAGAGAAAGTTAATAAAACCAAAAGCTCACACAGCAAATAATCCACACCCACCACCAAGGCTGTTGAGGTGTTCCCAGCTCTTGAAGCTTGTGGTTTTATCATATCAATATCAACGATCTCTCTTACTGATAAAAATGTAGTGGATACCATATGAAAAAGGTGGGCTTTTCAATCTGGCCCACCGAACTTGTCCAAGTTTTAGTAAGAACCCATGGATGTGTAAAAACCTGCTTTATTTCCCCTTACTCTGCAATACCCTTGTTTCCCTGATGGATGGCGCACTAGTTTAGACACATTGACCTTTGTGGGAGTGTAACTTTCCAGCTGCCATTTCCCCCCTTCGGTAAAAATGAGCGGACCAAAGAAAAGAAAAATGGACACAGAGTGCGGAGTGTTTACAAAGGAGCAGACGGTAAAAACCGTCCACTCCTGAAGTCCGATCACAGCTGTGTGTCTGATATGCCAAGAAACGGTTGCAGTTTTCAAAGATTACAATATCAGTCGTCCCTTTGCCACAAAGCATGCTAACTACGCTAGCAAGCAGTCAACGCAGGAACAGGCGGCTAATGCTCAGAGGTTGGCAGCTAATTTACAGACTCAGCAGGATTTTTTTCACTGAAAAACTGCGAAAAAGAGACAAGGCAAGTTTTTTGCTGGCATTAAAGTTAGCAAAGGCTTGCAAGCCTTTCTCCGAAGGCGAGTTTTTAAAAAGAAGGCATGGTAGAGACAGCAGATCTCTTGTGTCCGGAAAGCAAAGGCAAGTTTGAAAAAATCAGCTTATCACGCAGGACAGTGACACACCGTGTGGAACTGATTGACAATTATATAGTCTGCGAGTTAAACAAAAAGTCCTTTAATTTATATTCACTAGCACTGGATGAAAGCAACGACATGAAAGACACTGCTCAGCTCCTAATTTTTATCCGAGGCATAAATGACAGTTTTGAGAAAACGGAGGCTCTTTTGAGCAGGCATTCGCTGAAGGGAAAAGGACTTATGTACATGAACAGGTGTCTGCTGTCATTGAGAGAATGAAGCTGCCTTGCCAGTGTCTCTCAACTCAACTCAACTTTATTTATAAAGCGCTTTCAGTCAGCCAAAGCTAAAATCAAAGCGCTGTACAGGCCATTTGAGCAGATCATAAAACACAATTATCACCACAACACAAGACAAACTCAAAGATTAAAAAAACAGTAAGAGCAAAAAAAATAAAAATAAGAAAAAACAAAACCAAGTAAGAGAGGGAAATTAAGACAACTAAGATAAAGTCGAAGTCTCACTCAAAGGCCTGAGAGAAAAAGTGGGTCTTTCAAAAGGGTTTTAAAAGAGCTGAGTGTAGGGGCCTGTCTGATAGAAAGGGGGAGGGCATTCCACAGTTTCGGAGCTGCCACAGAGAATGCTCGGTCCCCTCTGAGCTTCCATCCGTGTCACCACGGATGGATGGCCAAATTTAACTGGAAAGAACGTCAGCCTGCTGAAAAGAATCCAAGATAAAGTGAAAGAAGAAAACCCTGACCAGGATGTTATTTTTCTTCACTGCATCATTATCAAGAATCTCTGTGTAAGTCTATATTGCAGTTTAATCATGTAGTAGATCCAGTTGTAAAACTTGTTATATTCATACGAGCAAGGGGACTTAATCACATCAGTTCATTACGTTCCTAGAGAAAAACCGATGCGGATCACCAGGACTTACTTTATCACTCTCGTGTCTACTAGTTAAGTTTGGGGAAAGTTTGTCAACAAGTGTGGGAGCTCAAAGAGGAGATTCGTTCGTCTTTGGAGCTAATGGGGAAATCCGAAGAATTCCCTGAGCTGAGTGATGAGGACTGGCTTTGTGACTTTGAATGTTAAGCTGCAGGGGAAAGATCAGTTTGTGCACAACATGTAGACAAATGTGAGAGGCTTTCAATCCAAGTTGATTTTATTCTCCAGGCAAATGTCAAACAAATCTTTCGCTCATTTTCCCACACTGGCCATTCAGAAGGCCACCCGCAATGTGAAGAAATACCTCAAATCACTGGACGACATGCACAGAGAATTCTGCCGTCGGTTCACTGATTTTGAAAACATTGGCAAGTCCCTTCAGCTGGTGTCCTGTCCCCTGTTACAAGACCCACAAACAGCACCGCATGAGCTGCAATTGGAGCTGATAGATCTTCAGTCTGACTCTGTCTCAAAAGAGAAGTTCATATCTCTTAAACTGAATGACATTTACGCTTCACGTAACGAAGCCAGGTTTCCAAACCTTCAGAGGACAGCACAGAAGATGCTGGCATTATTTGGCTCGACCTACGTGTGTGAGCACACTCGTGTCATGAACATCAACAAAGCCCATCACAGATCCTGGTTAACTGACAAACACTTTAGATTGATTTTGAGAATTGCTACAACAAAACTAACTCCAAACTTTGTCAAAAAAGAACAAGGACACTGTTCCCACTAAAATGTGACTTTCTCTACTGTGTTATGAAAAAATAGCAACTTGTGCATTTACGCACAGCAGCGGTACAGTAGCTTAATTAACATGCTGCACATCATTCTCAATTTAAAGACCCCTTTCTTTGAAAGTGATAGGCGGCACGGTGGTGTGGTGGTTAGCACCGTCGCTTCACAGCAAGAAGGTACTGTGTTTGAGTCTCGGGGGACCCAGGACCCTTTAAAAATAAAAACTGAGGAACAAGCTGATGCCTATGCATATTTAAGTATAAAAAAGAATGCAATGTTGAAAATTTTAAAAAATACTCTCACAATTAAAGAAGTAAAGCATGGAGTTGATCCTTTAGAAATTTTAGGAGTATTATGAGAAAGACAGGCAGCTAATTATGCTTTAAAGCAGATCCACAAGAACAGCAAATCCACAAGAACTTAGGATGTCATGATGAAATCAATAAAGGATATAATACTTTCCTAC